TGGTGGGGCAGCACCTTGGGGACGGGGCAGGGTCAGTGGCCGACCCCGAGGTGCTGGGGCTGAGCCAGGCACCTCCTGTGTTGTGCTGGCAGCTGATTCAGACACAGCTCCTGCTCGGGCGATGCTCAGCACCCTCCTGGTGATGCTCAGCACTGGGGAAAAGCTGAGTCGGGGTTGGGGAGCTGTGTCTGGCTGTTGTACTGAGCGTGGCAGCGTGTTTGCTGGTGGTAGGTGATGATGGGACTGCCCGGACGAGCCCTGGGTGCGCAGAGGTTGCTGTGAGACCCTGTCATGTCCTTGTTGTTGGGGACTTCGTAGCTCATGGTTTGGCTCTCCCTTCTGGGAGCAGGAGCGGGTCAGAGAGCAAAGGTTTCTGATGCTCCCATCTGGCCCACCCTGGACCCGATCCCAGCAGGGGAGTGGACTGGGTGGATGTGGGTGACTTGGCCCAGCCCATGGGATCTGTCTTACCTGGAGCTGGGCTCCCAGTCACAGAAACTGGGGCAAAGCAACAGAAAAAGGGGCCTCAAGGGTCTTTCCTCGAGCTCTGCAGCATTTCCACTTCCCTAGTGTGCCCATGGACACATGCACATCCCGCACAACCCCGCTGAAACAAATGCGCTCTTAAAACCCAACCATTCCATTTTCTCCCTCTCTGCTTTTATGTGGGGTGTTTCCACGTGGGTCCTGGCAAGATTTGGGGTGGAAGAGGGGAGCTGACCATGCCTGCCCATCCCTGGGCAGCGTGCGCATGGAGGCTTGGTGCGGGAAGAATGGGCGGCCAAGGCCCACGTGATGGGAACTCGCTGGGCCATGAATGGAGGAGATGCTCCATTCATAAATGCGGGGTCCCGGCGCGCAGGCGTTAGAGCTGGCTCTGCCAGGAATCCCCAGCCCGCTGGAGCTGCTCCTCCCTCTGCCAGCAAATCCCCCTTAACTCTTTGCTCACGTTCGTTTGGGCTCCGCTAACGAAGCTGAGCGAAAGCCTTGCTGGAGTCGCTGCCCGGGATGCAGTTATCCTCTGGCAGGGCAGGCAGTGATGCTTGAGGCAGTGCTTAGTGGCACAGGGGGACAAGAGACGTCGGCTGCATTGCCCAGCTCGGCTCCTTATGAACGTGCACTGCTCAAATGGACAGAACTCATGCAAGCAGAGTGGGTTTTCCTATCATCTCACAAACCCCCTCCCCAGCCTGGGTGTTTCTGAACTCCTGAGTTTGATTGCACGCTGATGTGGCAATCCTGGGAGGGATGGGAGATGCTTCCAGCAGTGACGATCCAGGGCCAAATGGTTGCTTAAGTAATTATTGGAGGCAATTAAAGGGCTTGAACCGAGGTGAGCTGCAGTGAGGGGGCTGGCCGGGACAGCCTCCTGGACTTGCTGTGTGTGCAGGGGGTTTGGCCCCCATCCCACGGGTCCTGTTCCTCCGCGGGGAAGCGGGCAGGATTGCACGTGCCTGTGCAAAGCCTCGAGATCCTTTTGTCTTTTTAAAATGATGGGTTTGGATCTTCCCGTGAGCATACCCAGCCCGGGGTGTCGGGAGGTGCAGGAGCAGCTCTTGCTTCCCAGCCCGGGGTGTCGGTGGGAGAAAGGGGCTGTTCTGCAGCACTGAGAGCCAGCATTTTGCAGCAAATACTGCTGAAATTCGGGTCAGAGCTGGCTCTGCCGGCCCTCGCTTGCCAAGTCAGCAAGCCTTACTCGACTGGATGTCTCAGCTCATTAAAGCCTCTGCGTTCTCAAACAAGGCTCCAGAGATTTTAGGGAGATGAAGGTGTGTGGTTGAGCTCAGTGCCTGATATCCGTCCCCTCACAAGGGGCAGGTACAGGGGACGTTGGCAGATCTCGTGCCATAGGAGGTGTTTGCTGGGCTGGGGCTTGTCTCGTGCCTGGCAGACACTTCGGCTCCATGCTGACCCCCATCTTTTCCCTGTGCCCCCCCCCCTAGAGCAAGCTCCACATGGAGGGTTTCCGCAGCCTGAAGGAGGGTGAAGCTGTCGAGTTCACCTTCAAGAAATCATCCAAAGGTTTGGAGTCCATCCGGGTGACCGGCCCGGGGGGCGTCTTCTGCATCGGCAGCGAGAGGAGACCCAAAGGCAAGAGCCTCCAGAAACGCAGATCAAAAGGAGACCGGTAAGGGGTGGCCAGGGCCTGATCCGGGGCAGGGTACGAGCTCTGCGGGCACCAGGAGCTGCCCGGCATCCTGCCCACGGCGTGGGGATGGGCTCGGATCCGGCGGGGTGGGCAGCGACCCTTCCTCCGGGAAAGTGGCTTCCTTTGGCGGTTAATGAGTGGCAGATGCAGCTTGGTGGGGAAAGGGCAGCAAACCAGCAGTGAAAGGGCAGAGGTCAGGGACACCCCGGGCGGCTGCTCCCCTCGTCTGGGGGAGCCGTGCTGGGCAGGGGTAATTTTCTCGAAGAGAAACCCTTCCTTGTGGGAAGGAAATGGCCGGACGTCCTGGCAGCATCTCCCACGGTGCTGCTGGGAGCCCCAGGGCGAGTTTCTGGCCAACTCTTCGTCCCCCCTCCTCTCCTTTCCCGTCCTCTCCGTCTCAGCTGCCCAGGGATGCCTCGTCCTGGCTTTCCCAGTAGATGCTGCCTGCCCCAGCCAGCTGCTCTCACAAGCAGGATTTAAAATGAATCCAAAAGGAATTGGGAAGGAAAAGGAAAGAGAAAAGGGTTGTGGCCATCCTAGACAGATGCAGGATTTAAAATGGGCACAAGGCAGCTCCCTCTGCCCACACCGCTCCGGTGCGAAGGCGGCACTCGGGGGACAAGCGCCGCAAGGGTACAGCCGTGAGAGAACCTGCCTTCGGGGTTGTCCCCACACCGGTGGCCACGGTCCCTGCAACGGTTCTCTTGGCTGGGGCTGTCAGTCGTCCGATTGCCTGTTCCTCCTCTGCTGCAGGCTTTTCACCCGTAGCGTGTAACCCTGGGTGCAGGGTCTGTAGCCACAGGAGCCAGAACCGTGACGGAGCCAGAGGGGTGGAAGCCCCCAACATCCCCCATTTTTGTCCCCGAGTGCTTGCTTTCGGTGCAGGGGTTTGCTGCCACCTCCTGGGTACCAGCAGCACCACTGAGCCAGGTCCAAACTGGCCGTGCTGGAGCTGGGGCTCTGCGGGGACCAAACCCAGGGCCACCATCCGCCCCCCCAAAACTAACCCCACAGCAGCCAGGCCATTTTTAAGCCCAGCTCTGGCTGCGATGGGTCCCAGGCACAGCCCCGGCAGCATCCCACCTCATTTTGTTTCTCCTCCTCGAATCTCTCTCCTCCTCCTCACCCCGCAGATGCTACAACTGCGGCGGGCTGGACCATCATGCCAAAGAGTGCAAGCTCCCGCCGCAGCCCAAGAAATGCCACTTCTGCCAGAGCATCAGCCACATGGTCGCCAACTGCCCCGCGAAAGCACAGCAGTCCCCCAGCTCCCAGGGAAAACCTGCCTACTTCCGAGAGGAGGAGGATATGCACAGCTCGGCCCTCCTCCCTGAAACCCGGGAATGATGGCGGGTGACGGGGAGGAGGGGGCTTCCATCGGGATGAAAAGGCTTTGGCAAGGCAACGGGCAGCCGCGGGGGCTCGGAGGAGGGAGGGCAGGTGAAGGAGGACTGGGGAGGGAAGATGGCAGTGCTAACGGTGGGGACCCAGTGTCCCTGCACAGACCTTTTTCCCCCTGTTCTCAGCCCGGGGAAAGCCATGCTTTAATCAGGATGGCTCATTCCAAAAATAGGGGAAGGCACCACCCAACACACCTCTTCCAGCTGAAAAAAAAACCAACAAAACAAACAAAAAAAAACCCCATATTTGATTAATCTTTACTCTTTTCCTAAACGAAGCCAGGCACCAATGTCTCTGGGAGGAGGAGCAGAGGAGCAACATCTCAGGGAGGAGCTCATGGCTCCTTGTTCTTCTGAGCTTCAAACAGGCTTGAATGAGCTGCAAGGGACCCGCTCCTACACCTGCCCCATCCCTCTCTGCCCCAAGGAGGGAGGCCGGTGGGGAAAAGCTGGCTGCAAAGCACCGAGGAGATGCCCGTGGGCTGGCCCCGTGGGTGTCTCTGCTCCTCACAGCTTCTCACTTGCAGGTCGGTGTGAGGATTTGCAGTTTTTCTGTGGTCGCTCTGTTGCTGAAACCAGCAGAGCCCAGATTTGGGCTCAGTCTGGAAGGAAATGGGCCATCTCTCGGGGCTGGGCTAACGCTTACTGCCTGCCTGTAGGCTTGGGGGAGATCAGGTCAAAAGAAAAACACTTTTTTTTTCCCCTAAGTCTTCCCAAGTGCCAGCCCAGAGAGCACAAGGTGGTTTATGCAGCCAGTTCTTCCCCTCTAAGGCTTCTCCCTGCCTCTGAAATGCAGAGCCGGGCAGCGGGAAGGCTTCATGGAGCAGAAATGCTCCTCGTTAAGCCTTGGGTACCGGACCCGAGGCAGAGCCAGCTCCCTGGGGGTGTTGCTGGCAGCGTTTCCCTCGGAGGCCATGTCCTCAACCCACCCAGGGTTCATGCAGATCCATCCGTGGCTTGATCCAGACCCCAGGCTGCCTGGGCCTTCCCACAGGCTCTGGATCAAACCCACGCAGGACAAAAACACGCCTCTGCTCCTCCTACCCATCCCACGCTCCAGAAACCAACGGCTGCTGGGCTGAGCCCCTCCAGGGGCAGAGGAAAAGGGGTGCCCCAGGTCATTAGGGGCTGCTGTCCTCCCTCCCCACCGGCCCCCTCAAGTCTTGCCGTTATTTATTGGCCCCGGTGGACAGCCCTTCTCCCGGGGCAGCCTCCCTGTCTGTGCCGAAGCCCACGGCAAGTGAAACCTGCACTAGGACGTGCGTGAATGACGTATCTTTGGGTTTGTTTGTCGTCTTTGTTTTGGGTTGTTGGTTTTTTTTGGGTTTGGTTTTTTTTTTTTTAATATAAATATTCTGGTTTTGTATTTTTGTATATTTTAATCTTTAAGAAAAGAGAGAAAAAAAAAAAAAAGAGAGAGAGAGAAAGGACATAATTCCTGCAACTTATTCTCAGGTATTCGAGCAATCTCAGGGATAAAATGCCTCTGTAGCCCAGTGCTGGACAGAGAGGAGGGTTTTTTCTAACAGCACAAAGACATGATGGAGTTTGTATTGGAAGTGTAGATCTACCTCACTGGATGTTCGCTAGGTGGACTGATGTGTTGTCAAGCTTTTTGGTTGTGTTTTTTGGTATGTTTGGGGTTTGTTTTCTTTTTAACTGTATTTTAATAAGAGTCTCTTTCCTTTCCCCACTGGACTGAGGAGGAATTTGGGTCTGCAGATCCCTCTGTGGGGACGGAGAAGCCAGGCAGTGCCACGGGGCAGGGAACAGCTGCTAGAGCCCGTGTTGGCTCCCCAATTCCAGATTTTCTCCCAGCCTGGTGGCTTTTGAGGGCTGTCCTCCATTTCTCTCTCCTGTTTAGGCTCATACGTCCCCTCCCCGCCATCCCGATGGGAACGCTCCAGCCTGCCCCTTGCCCGAGTCCTCCTGTTGCCCGTACAGGCTGGGATGCTGCACAGGCTCCCAGCAGGCTGCTGCCATGTGGCTGGGGGTCGAAAAGCCAGGATGAGGGTCCCAGCCCGTTCAGGGGGACGTGGCAAGAACTGACAGCAGCCAGGGAGGTTGTTGAAAAACTGAGGGTTATCCTCAATCCCCTGCCCTAACTCGCCCTTGAGCAAAGGGCTGGCTGGCCACCCGTGACCTCCTGGGATGAGGGACCTGGTGCCAAGGCGGACCCAAGTCCCAAGGAGGTGCAACTGCTCCATCTTTCTTCTCCCTTCCTGGCTTCCCCCAAATGCTGGCTCGCCATGGGCGGAGGGAAACTCTGGATCCCGTTTTGGGGCATTAACACTCCATTTTGCGGCCCGGGGCCTTGCTGGAGCCTTCCCAGGGAGGGCGTCTCGCCGTGCTGGCGTGTCAGGACGTGGGCACGGTTTCTGCTGGTTTTTAGGTAGCGATAGGTTTAGCTGTAGAGCAGGGCTGGAACAGACGGGGAGCACCTACTCCATCCTCGCCAACGCACATCCCTGGGGGGACTTGCTGAGGCTGCTAGAGCCCCGTGACCCCCCCTGAGGCTTTGCCCTGCGGCACGCAGGCACCGGGGGGGATGGAGAGCGGCTCCCCAGCTGCTGACCTGCTCTGCTCCGGTAGTTTTTATGGTGAGGTGGTGGTCTCTTCTTGGGAGGGTAGGGGGAAGGACTTTTAGTTTTTGGCTAGCAACGGGATCTATACAAAACTACTTCAGGAGAACGGCTTTTGTCTGAACGGGGTAAATGCAATAGAGCGCACTGGGCCGCGCGTCTAAGCGTGGGCCTCGGTCCCGCTGCCGCGTTGCGGGGGGGCTGCTGGCCTTCCCCTGGCACCCCAGTTGTGCTGGGGAAACTGCTGCCCCTTCCCCCCTTTATTCTTGTATCTGTCTTGAAGAATCGTGTAGGACTTTTCCCCCCCCTCTCCCACAGTTTAATGGTTTGGTGATTTTTCTGCTAGATGTCTAGTGTGTATGAATACCTCTGTAAATCTTTCCATTTTCTCTCAGTATTCTCCTTGATTATTGTTTACAAAATTAAGACAAAAAATTAAAAAAAAAAAAAGGAAAAAAAAATAATAAAAATAGCCAAAGCATCTAATAGGTAACGGACCAGGGAGACAGGATCTTCTCTGTATACTCTGCCTTGCAGCTCTGTGTGGGGATATGAGCTCTGTACCCATCCCTGTCCTAGGCTAAAGCAAATAGCAAATGGCTTAGAGAATCACTCAGGTTTCCCCCGGGGCCGGAGCGGTACCGGGATCCAAGAAAACAGGGATTTTTATCTGTAAAGGGAAGTCACGTTGGAGAAGATGGGATTGATTCGCATCTTCTCGTTGCATTTGCCATTGTGGTTCTTCCCGTATCTTGACAATAATTAACTAAATTGCTGCATCATCCCCCACCCTGCCCATGCTGGGCTTGCAGGCGCTGGGCACTATGCATTACGGGAGGGTGAAGGGCGGGCGGATGAGGCTGCACACTCAGGGTCCTGCTGTGACACGGGAGCGTTTGAATGTACGAGGAAACGCTGTTCCTCACGAGAGGGTGTCTCCCCTGGTGCGAAAGCCTTGAGTCACAAGATGGTCTACGAGGAGACGGAAGAATGTAATCCATGTTTACTGCTAGCAACCAAAGCTTGTTTGTGTCAAACTCGTGAATTTTTATAAAAGGGGGTGGGAAGAAGGGAATAATCGGGGTGGCTGTGTGTGGCTCAGGGGTTAGCCCCAGCTGCACTTTCCAAAGAGATTTCCTGCTGGAGTCCCTGCAGCAAGATCCCCAGTTCCTGTTGCTGCAGG